ATTTCAAACACAGTAGAGGGGAGGGGCGGTGCGACTAGCTAGGGGTGGATTCAGATTCGGGTTCGACACGAGCGGAGCATAAGGTATAATTTAACACAAATCAAAGGGAAAATGCGTCGCGAATTCGGAATCGGAATCGGAATCGAACTCATAGATACTCGGTACCACACGTGAGAGGCAAAGGGGTTCGTCCTGGGCGATAGATGAGTTATGGGGCAGATGAAATCAATTGTCTTGGCAACAGACGTGGCAGGCAGGCAGGCAGGCAGCCATCCTGCCATCCTGCCATTCCGGCAGGGCTTTAAAGCGAAAGAATTCCGCAATGCCACTCCTCCGCCTCTTGCTGCTTTGTAGTCCAATTAAAAGGGTTTGTCGTTTGTCGTTTGCCGTTTGTCGTTTGTCGTTTGTCGCTGAAAGGATTCACTTTATTATCATTGAGGGGATTTGGCTTAGGGGATATTCCATTTTTGTAGTTGCTCTGCCAGCCATCCTCCCATCCTCCCATCCTCCATTCAGCCTCCACTCTGTCCCCTCGGCTAGTACCTGAAGATACATCCGAGTCGAGTTTCATGCTTCGGTCGTTCGGCAATTTGTTGTCGCGGCTGTTGACTTTGTCATTTCACTTTTTCCCTTTTCATTTTCCGCTTTCGGACCGCTTTTCGACCTTAAGCTTTAGTTGCATGACTTTCCCCTGCAGGGGTGTGGCGGGGGGGGTGCCATGATTTTCCGTAGCTGCTTGCAACGCAGACAAAAGCCAACTTATGCCATGGGAAACGAAGGATCTGCCAGGGTATCCACTACGTCGGCTATCCTAATTTGCTGTTTTTTTCCTTTTTTTTTTTGTTGTTTTTGTTGTTCTGTTATTCAGGAGCCACCCACTCATCGTGACAAAGTGGGTTTGGCTTTGTTTTTGAAGCTCCTTCTCGTGGGAAACTTTTCCAAGAACATGTCAAGTTCTCATCATCATCATCGTCGTCGTGGCCTCATCCCGCGCTCTTTTTGCTGCCCGAGCAGCGTTGTCTGGTTGTAATTATCACGCTAATGAATCAAGTGTACTCGCTTGTAACTAATTGATATGAGAAAATGACATTGGCTTTTCATTGTTCACAGAACTGGTCCACAGAGAGCGCTGAGCGTGGAGAGCGGAGCACGGAGCAGGGGTTGGTTCGATGGAAATCACAGCGAAAGAAAACTTCTGCCGCGTGTGTGCTTTAGGGTCAGGGGCGGGGGTTGTGCATTGCCCAAGCGGGTGGTGCGGTGTTCCCCATTGATTTGCATGTGAATTTTCCATATTAGCGGGAAAACTAATGATCAAACGAATCCACATCCCATCCCCCAGCTACACTCAGAGAAAAGTGTTTAATATTTGGATTACATATGCGGTTTTTAAGCACAAAATTAAATAGAATTTAGTTTTATTTAATATACAATATTTTATTACAAAATATAAATATATAGCACATTAAAATATATCTAATATATTCAATTTGTAACTTATTGGGTTTCATATTTCTATGAAATATTTAATTTAAATGTGGAAAATATTTTAAATTGATTTTAAATATATTTCATATTTATATTAAATGAATTAATTAATATGAATTAATAAAATATTAATGAATTAATATGAAAACTATTTTTAATTGATTTTGAATATATTTCATATTTATATTAAATTATTATTATTATTTTGTTTTTGTTATTTATTATATTTTATTATATTATTATTATTATTATTATTGCTATTTTTATTATTATATTATATTTTAAATATATTTAACATAAATATGAAATATTTTCGTATTGATATAAAAAATGGAAGTCCACTCTCTGGCCAAATCCATTGGTGCTGTTTTCTCTGGTTGTAACCGCTGGAGTGTTTGAGTAAAGGAAACAAAAAAAACGGGAGACTTGATTAGAAATAAAAATGCTGCTTCGGTAATTGTCTTGAACTTTAGTGCCTGAAATATGTAAACTTTTCCAAATGAATTTTCACGATTTCATTGCTTGACTTTCTCCGTTTTACTTTTGTGCGCCGGCCCCGCGCAACTCTCCGGGGATTTCCCGCCGGGAGCTTGTTAAGCGATTTTCCCTTCAGGTGAAGCTTGGCATGGCGATGGCGATGGCGATGGTGATGATGATGGGTTCTGTGCCTCCGTTGATGACTTTCGGCTCCCTGGAGTATTTTGCGCCCCCAGTAATAACTGCGATTGTATTTATATTTATTGTTATTTAGCATAAACAACTTTCCTCAAATTGCACAAGGAGAACCTCACAGGACGGGCATGGGATGGAGGCGGGGGGGAGGGGGTTGGGGGGCAAAAACTTTGCATAAGCCGAACCGAGCCGAGCTGCGGCGGCAATCAATTTCAATTTTTAAGCCCTTTACCGAGGACAACATTTTTAATTAATCGTCGGATTACCAGGAGCTGCAGGACTATGGACGTGGCTGCAGCCCTGGCCAGCGGTTTACTGTTCCTCGTCCTTCCACATCCCATCGCATCGCATCGCATCCCGTCCTACCGCATCACATTTCATCCCATCCAGCTGTCCATTTTTTTCCATTATCTGTGCCATTTATTCTATTTTTGTCGCACAACTCAACTAAACGAGCGACAAATTGCCAGCGAACGTCGACCAAGTGCCCGGCAGCGGCATTGGCATCGGCATCATCCTGGGTCCTGGGTCCTGCTCCGTTTGCCGTTCTCCGTCCTGCGGCCATGATGAACTTTCATTGTCTACTTCTCTGCGCTCCTCTCCGCTCCGCTCCGCTCCGCGGCGGCTTAATCCTTCCACGCTTTGTGTCATCAATGCGTCCGTGCCACTTGTGATGGATTTCGGAGCGATAGTTGGGCATTGGGCATTCCGGCCATATGGTCAGAAGTGTCATGGCAACATTCAGAGCGGATTGCGGATTGGCGATTGCGGAGGAGGGCTGCAAAAAGATTGCATTCACTTCGTTTTACTCGCATTGTGGTTTTGGTCTCTGGCGCCCCGAAAATCTGTTTTGAAAACCAATAAATCTGATTTATTGGCTGCCTCTCCGTCCCTCCGTATCTCCGTCTCTCGACTCCATCTATCCCTGTGTCCCTTCATTTGTGATTTAAGCTGCAGCTCTCTCTCTGTTTTTGCGATGTGGGCAATGATGAAGTGTTGTAGGAAGGTTAACACTGGGGCTGTGTCAATAGCTCACGAGAATTTACCGAAAAGCTGATGATTAAAAGCTGATCAAAACAGACAAAAGCTAATGCATAGCCCCAAAACTGTGGCCGGAGCCCCATTAGCTGGCATCCAGGCATAGGCATCCTCCCCCCCACCCAATTATCATCATCAAAGTCCGTCAGAGCAGAAGAAGCTAAGGTCGTAAATTACAGAAGGTGCCATGAGCCAAACAGCACGGAAAAATTGTTAAAAATAATGACACATTTCCCACATCTCTCCATTGGGTCATCATTGATGGGAGGGAAATGGCCATGGCTTTGAGGGTGGGGGGCGGTGGCGGTGGCGGTGGCAGTAACCCGTCGACGTTGTCATCATCATCGTTAGAGAGGCGCAAATCTGCGCTCTGGGCAATGTTATTGTTACAATCGACACCCGACGCGTTAAAAACACACACCACACGATACACACAGACACACAGGCAGACACACAGATACACACACACAGAGAGAGATATCCCCGTAAACGAGCCAACGAGTGGGAATGGGAGTGGTTCGGCGTATGACCCGTGGCGTATTTCGGTTTTGACCAACGCTATATTCCCAATCCCCTGTGCAGTCCCCTGCCCACACACTCATGCCATTCGCATTGCCACATCTCTCAACGGGGGTGTTGACAATTCAAACGCAATAATTGCGACTGCGAACCGCACGACGCTCGACGCTCGACGTTCGACGTTCGACGTTCGACGCTCGACGGGATTCGGCAGTCGGGATTCGGTTTTGGCGAAAGGTGTGGCTCTCGCTGCTCTCGTCCGCTCGTTATGCCGTGTTTGACACAATGTCAACTTTTTGTAATAAGTTTTTGCCCTGCCCAGCCCTGCTTTGGCCATAAAAAGCGGAATACGATGTAGCATTTCGATGTAGTACGTACGTACGAGGCGATGCTAATGGCAGTTGCAGTTTGCTTTGATCTCCGCACCCGGGGGTAGTTCAATCTTCAGTCTGCACCCCGTGTCAGACGAGACGCAGTTTTAATGAACCCTCTAGCCCTCTGCTGGGTCTGCGCCTGGACCTGGGCCCGGACCTGGGTCTGGGTCTGGGTTGTTCTCTTGTTGCTGATTTTTGATCCTGTTACCCATTGTGGCCATTGTTCTCGCACTCTAGCATTCATCATTCGCCCTGGTCCTGGGCCTGTCCCTCGTCCTGGCTTCTTTTTGTCGGTTATTTTCTCTCGTTTTTTTTTGTTGTTGTTGTTGTTGTTGACTGGGTGTTTATTATTAGCCTGGCAAATACATCCGCACGGCAGCCGGCGATCCTTTTTTGCCTTTTCAGCTCCGTTCTATTCAGTTGAGTTCCCCGGCATTGTGTCGCGGGCACAGCGCTGAATGTTGGTTTAATGAGTTGAATATGTCAATGGTCTCGTCTCCCCTCGGTGGCAGGCTGTGCGGCAACGGCAGGGGCAGGCAAATGTAGTCATTAGCATTTGAATATTACGCAAAATATTTTCGGGAAAAATGGAAACATGCAAAGAAAACGCATTTTTAGTGGTGCGGCAGCCCCAGGCGGGATTTCAAGTAAATGTGACTGAAGAATACAAGCACAATAAATGTCAAAGTATTGGTGAGCTTTGGAAGCTCTGTCTGATCTCCGTAGATAAAGCTTTTCCCTGCATCCGTGAGCTGTGTGCATGTGAAAGCTTGCCCCTGATTTGCATTCACTTTCAATTTTAAACGACACATTTAATTGTGGCATATGTTCAAGGACCTGAGCCCGGGTCCCGCAGAGCTCAGCCATTGAATGCCCACAGAAGCCGCCAGAAACACGGTGACATATTGCGCAATGGAAGTGGTGGAAGCGGTGGAAGCGGTGGACGTGGTGGATCAGGATGAGTACCGAGCGGGACTCTACTTATCGGAGCGTTATCTTTACGCTGGCGGTGCTCAGCAAACCGCGAAATCGAATCCATAGATCAAGCGAGCGAACGAGCGAGCGAGCGGGTGAAAAAGTAAAACCGATTCAGCTCTCGCGATTCATCTGATAAATGAATGGCAGCCCCCGAATGTTTGCAATTGCTTTGACATGTTGGACAACAATGGAGGAGAGCAGACGGTGGGCAGACGGAGGGCAGACGGAGAGGGCACGGCCGCCTCGGGGAGCGGCTGATGGGTGGCGCAGCGCGACTTAAGCCGCTGACAAATGCGATTGCCTATTGAAATTGAAAAAGACCCGAAATGGAAGCAGTACGAGCAGTAGAGCAACCCTTGAGGTCCAGATATCCTTTTGTGGGCATCCTGCTCTGGGCATTTGCATTGATTTCAATTAATTTGCTTGTTGTTGTCCCTGATCCGTCGCCGTGTTGTTCCGATTGCGTGATTGTAATTGATATTTGGTTTGGGTTGGGTTTTTGGGCTGGTGCGAGTCAAGTGCTTGCAACCCCCTCCCCTCCCCTGCCCTCCCCTCCCCTGCCCGTCCATCGGTCCGCCCGTCCAATGGGAATTATGTAAATGCCAAACATGCATTAGAGAACGGACGGGAGCTGGCTCCTTGGCCCACCTCTAAGCCTTCCCGGAATTATTCAGGCAGATAACTTCTGTCCCTTCTTCATCAGTCCTCAGCTGTGCGAATTTTCCATTCCATTCCGTGGAGAGACGCCCGTACTGCTGGTCCTGGGGCGAGGGTGACAACAGCCAACTGTCATTGACAGCTTCGTTGGCTTCATCTTCATCCTTCAGCCAGGGACAACAAGGTGTTGTCCCCCCTACGCCCGTAGTCCGTGCTCCGTCCTTTGGCTTTGTCTTTTCCGGAAGAGAATGAGTCAGCGGCATTTCGCATTTCACATTTCCTATTTTCCTATCCCCATTTGCTTTTAGTTTTGTGAATTTCAAATGCCAGGACATCTGTTCAAGTGTTCCAGGTCTCAGGCCCAATCCTGCCACGATGCTAATGCGTTTAGTCCATCTCGAGGAGTTGACGGTGGAGGGGGAGGGGAATGGAATCGTGTGGACTGGGGAAGAGCTTAAAGAACCCGTAACCCTCTTATGCAGCTCGTCTCAGCACTTAATTTCGCCCCTAATTGCTGCAATTTGAATGTTTAATGCAATCCAAAATTATAGAGGGTAATTATTATTAGTTGTGCCCGACCCCCTGCCCCCTGCCTCCTGCCCCCACGTTTGAATCGTGCGTGTGAAAACCAATTGGTTCCATCGCCTGCTGCCTGCTGCCTGCTGCCTGACGGACATAAATAGTTGATTTGGGGATCGATGGGGGTGTGTCCTTGGAATATGTATATTTGGAGGCTTTCAAATATTTATGGGGGATTTAGCATTTATTTATAAAATTTGTTCAGCTCGGGTGAATCGCGGGTGGTAACTTTTCCCTCGCTGTACAAAGTTTTCCCCACCAAGCAACCAAGCAACTTTCCCTGCCCTCCCCCCTTTTTCGAGGGGTGGGGCTTTCCTTTAATTGTTAATTGGCTGCATCGATTGTTAATTGTTCCGGAGACCTGATTGCGGGCATTGTGAGTGGAAACTTTTTCAAGTGCTTTCGTCTGGGCAAAGTTTGGAAAGCGAAACAAAAGGTGCGCTGCTCCTCCGATTGCGGATTGCCCGATTGATTGGTTGCTGAATTAATTACGTGGATTACATAATCCTCCCCCCATCCACCACCCCACCCTAGCGGCAGTCCATCATCCTCCCCCCCGCCCCATGAGCCCATCGCCAGTTGAACTTTAAGTTTTCTCCGTGACGAGGCTTCGTTGATGGGCCGTTGATAATTCGGTAGCATAACAGCCCATTCCAAGTGTCGCCAGATCCATTCCCAGTCCCATTACCATTTTCACTTCTATTTCCAGCCATTGCCCATTTTTTATTTATTTTATTATTATTTTTTTTTTTTTTTTGAACAAAATTTTGGCAAATTTACACTTGGCTAACAAAAGCGGTAACAGCAGCAACAACAACAAAAGGCACACAACTAACAATACCCCCCACCCGATGCCAATCCCCCCATTTTCCATTTTCTAGGGTTGCCTGATTGCGCAATGGTGCCCCCAAATGCCTCCCGGGGTACAGTCCCAGTCCCAGTCCCAGCCAGTGCCATAAATAAGGGCCACATTCAATGCAAATTGGACTATTTACGCAAATTTTATTGCCACACAATTTTTATATATTTATCTTCTTTCTGTTGTTGCTAGTTTTCTTACACACACACACACACACACACACACACTCGTGTATATAGAATGCTTTATTCCTTTGTTGTTGCTAATATTTTTCCATCCCCTCCGTGGAGATTTGGCTGCTGCCCCCAAGCGTCTACTAAATCAGGCAATTTGAATGTTGCTTCCTTGACTTTCACTTTGACATTTTGGCACTTTGGTTTTCTGTTTCCCCAATAGCCTCCGCATCGGTGCGGGAAAACCCTTTTCCCGCTCGTCGAATTATGCGATTTTGTGTCATTATTTCGTCGCTAAACGAAGCGAATTTCTCCCCATGCTCCCGAAAATCCAGAAAATCGTTGGGTAGCCGAATGTGTTTTTTATTGACATTTAGACGCGTCGCAGATTTGGCCCCGGCATCAACGGGTTGAGTCTGAGCTTCCTGTCCGGACGTGGGCCTTAGTCTGGGCCTGGTCCTGGTCCTGGCCCTGGTCCTGGGCCTGGGCATGGCCTTGCCTATGGCGGCTCTGTGTCATAAAGCGGGGGGGGATTTACCAATAAATTCGTTCTAGTGAAAATTTATTGACATTGCTTTTTAAACCGCGACGCGTGTTGTGCCTCCGCACTTTTATCGCCGGGAAATTGACATTGAAGTCTTGTTTTGGGCCTGAATGGAACTGACCTTTAAAGCGGAAGATATTGGAATATCGATAGGCAAATCGAGCAGAGGTAATGGCAGGATAACGGGGAGGAGTGGATGAGCAAAGAGGGATGCCCCTTGGACGCCAAAAGCATCATAGCCGCGTAATTTGTTTTCCATCGGAAGGCATATATCTCGATCGGGAAAAATCAGTTGAGACTTGGAGCTGCGGGCCGACAGATAGGTGTGGAGGCCATCCTGCTCCCAATCGCTGCCGCCAGGGTCCCGGCTCATTAATGTCCCTGGAACTTGGCCACCTCGAAGAAGGGTATCAGTTCTTGGCCAATACGCAAACAGAAAACAATCGACGGGAAGGAACTGTGACTCTCCGGGTCGTCGAACCAATAACTACAGATCGTCGGCAATGTCAAAGGGATTCGAATGATTCTGGACTGCCGCGGCAAGTGAAAAACTTATCCAGCTGTCACTGAGAGCTCTTCATCTGGATTTGGGCACATGAAATCCTTTCAAACTGCCACAGAACCTCATAGTCGTGAATGGTGGTCGGTGGCTCTTGTGTTTCTGAGTGTGTCTGGGTCTTGTTAAGCCGCTTTCCTCCTTTGGCTTCCTTGGAAGGAGGTAAAGTCTGATTTGGTCTGTTAAGGAGACTTCCTTCTCCCTGATGTCCTGCCAAAAGGCATCCCTGAGTTCTAGATACATACATACGCCGGCGTGTATCTTATTTTTTCATTGAATTGCTCAAGATCTATCTCTAAAGGCACAATAAGACGAAAGCTGTCTTTAATTGGTTCGTATCTTTCTGGTGGGATCCTCCTTGGAGATCCCTGAATGTTTGTGCAGGGGACAACAGTCTGCGAACTTCTGGGGCCGATCAGTTGATAGATGCCACTGGGGGTCGCCGCCAACTGGTGACTCCATTCTGTGGCATGATAGCCGCACGCTTGTACATTGCCGGCTGCTGTCATGACGGATATTTTGATCAAATCGGGCCATTATTGTAGGCGGATCTCAGTCTCTTCCTGGCGGATTGAGCGTGATATAAAGGAATGGAAACAGATCCCCCCGTCACGACTGGTTTTCGGCTGTTTTCAGCGAACAGATCGCATTATTTCCACCGCCCTCTGCCGTTCCTGCCGCTCCCTGCCCGCTTCCTCTTTGATCCTATCCGATCCGGGCCAAAGCCACATTCAGGCAGACACAAAAGAGCCAAAAATTAAGTGAGTTATTAGCTCGTTATCTTTCGCACTTAATATTTACACAGTTGGGGCTACTGCCGAACAAATCGGAGTGTGAAAGGCCCCAAAGGGAGACTGTGGACTCCACCTCCGTTCGCTGGCAGTCAGTTTACCCCTAATTTTGTCGCTTGTGTTGCTTAAAATTCAAACAATGTGTTGATGCCTTCACACCAACCGAAAACATGCATAATTAATATGCAAAAAGCGGTAGCAGGCAGCATCAACAACAACAACAACAACAGCAACAGCAACCTCGTTCTCGGAAAGGCAAGGAGCAACTTTTCCGAGCGGGCTGCTTGTGGAAAATTGAAAGGGTTAGCATAATTTTTTCGGGCATGAGGGGAGCAGAGGGAGAGCGAGAGAGAGCGAGAGAGAGAGAGGTGACATTTTGCTTTTTGCCTGCTTCATTATCACAGCTTTCGCGTCAACATTATTTCCGCAGAACGGGAGGAGCGAGGGCATCGGGTGTATACCCTCAAAGAGGGTACTGCGACTTCAGCAGCGAAGTGAGCACTTCCAAGGGTCTTCCTCTGCCATAGATCGGGCGAATTCAATCCGCATTGGAGTGGAGCTGCCAGGGTATCAAGAGCTTCGGCTGCATGCGGCTCGGGCTGTCAGTGCCATGCATAATTCATATGAGAAAAGCAACAATAGGCGGCTACGATGAGCGGAGGAAATGTGAAAGCCCCAAACCTTTCCGAGCAGAGCAGCGAAAATGCTTTAATTGAAGCAAACGAAGACAGACACACACAGCCACACATGCCACATGCCGCATGCCCCTTGGACTCATTTGCATATTTCAATGCATGCAATTAGGCGTAAGGAGTGGCTGGCGAGGGGCACGGTGTGGCACGGAGCGGGTACCAACTGTGATGACAAGAAAAAAAAGTTTTCTTTTGCTTTTTCTTTTGTAAGCTTCCATTTTTTAACCGTATTCTCTCTGCCGTGCTCTTCTTTTCAGCCAAATCACGGCATTTTACGGTGAACGGTCTGAGCGCCAATAACACGCTTCAGCAACAGCAACAATACAACCTGCAACCATCGAACGACACTCGCAACATCTACAACAATCCCTATATACCACCCCAACAGCAACAGCAACAACAGCAACAGCAACAACAGCAGCAGCAGACCCAACAGCAACGCACTGCTCACCTGTTCAAGGCCCTGGCCGCCTCTACTGCCGGCGGAAGTAATAGTCTAAGCCATCCCTACGACTTCTCCAACTCATCCTCGTCGTCGAACGCCAATAATGAGCACCAAGGATCATCGTCTTCGGAGGCAGAGAACGCTTTTCTAACTCATAATAACGGTAAGTGCGGGCCATGCTATATGGGAGGAGGGGAGCCGATGGAGCCTGTGGTCAATATTCAACCATAAACAGTAGTCTTCTGCTCCGCCGCAGAGTGGCTTCCGGTCGGGGAAGATGCATAAAATGCATAGCCGGAAATTGAATTAAAACTCGAGCAATTAAAAACACAACTTTCCGGGTCCTAAGTAATATTTCCTCTTCCGCAATGAACCAGGAAAACAACGGGGCAAAAAAAACTTGCCCACCTGCCACCGGTTGGCTGGCAGCTTGCCATAATTTGCACGCAATTTGCATTTCAAGTGGCCAATTCCCTGCCGTAGCAGCCGTAACAGCCGTAGTCCTGCTCTCCCATCATCTTAAGTTGGTGGCCAGTAGCCCAGACTCCTTCCTCCCGTGCTCCTCTCTGTGATTTCCCTTCTAATTACGAGCTCACAAAAAGGTGCTCATAGCTCACAGTCCCCGAGTCTCCGAGTCTCCGAGTCTCTGGCTCAGACTGGCAGCCAAACTTGGCTTGGCACCCACTGGGACGGCAGCGGCGGCGGCAGCGACGGCAGCAGTAAGTGAAATTTATGTGAGTGCTTATAATTTGTAAAAGTAAACGAACCAGGTAGAGCTACAGCATTGTCGAGGGGCGGGTAAATGAGAGTTTGCTTAGCAACAAATTACAACGAGGATCGCTCGGCAAGGGGTGGTGTGGTGGCAGATACACAGAGACATGGGAATCCCAACTATTGAGGGAGCTACTATGACGGAATCACAGTATTTGTGGGGAGATGGACCTGTCCCCGCACGGGGATTACAGCCGGAACCAGGGATAACAGAGGGAAATGTAGAACTGATCCGATCCTAGTCTATTCTTAAAGCTCTTCCTGGAGCGCTTCTCCTGTCTGGCCCTGCCTTGCCAAGCCCAACGGGCAGTAACAACAAATCACGACTCTGGCTTTTCTTTGCTCCATTGTTGGCTTCCTTCTTGGGGGGGCTGGCCATAAAATGTGGCAAAGTGCAATTGCCTGGCCGGGGTCGTGGTCGTGGTCGTGCCCGGCCCGCCCGGTCCTTATTGGGCGTAGGTCGAGAAGGACGCCGCCAGTTATGCAATAAAAATCATTAAAAATATAAAAATGAAAGCGGGAAACTTAACAAGCAGTCAGGCTCCTGGCTCCTGCCTCCCGCCAGCCTCCTGCAGACGCTGCGGCTGATGAAGCCATGAGAAAGGAATTGAAAAAAATCCTCAGACGCTGCAAGGAGATGCATCGTTGTTGTAGCAAGTAACAGGAAACTAAACGAGCACCCAGCGCCATAAACTTAAATCACGATTAAAAGTGTGATTATCCTTGTGGCGCTACAAATCGCCGCTGCAGCTGACAACACACACACACACACACACACAGACAGAGGACGAGGACGAGGACATAACAACCGCCTGTCCTGCCGTCTTGCTATCCTGTCCTGTCCTGCTCCGCACTGCCTCCTCCTTCGGGGGCCTCTTGTAGTTCTGTTGTTGCAGTTGTCTGATTTTATATCTTTACAACCAGGCGCGGCTGTGGATGAGTAGACAGAGTGGCAGTGGCAGTGGCAGTGGCAGTGGCAGTGGCAGTGCCGGTCGCCGTCGATGTTGTAGTCTGGGTCTGGGTCTCGGTCTGGAGTCCCAGCAGGTCCCGAGGTCGGAGGAGTCCTTTGTGTGTTGGGTTCTGTTTTGTTTTGACTTGTGTATGGCCCGTGGCTACATAGTTTCGCCCCAGCCCCCCTCCTGATATCGGCGTAGATGCACGCAAGATGCTGAGAGCTAACTACACACGTACGTAGTGCCTGCTGGCGAGTGTTGCTCTGGCTTAAAGAGTTGCATCGAAATAGTTTCCATATTTAATTGCCCTTCAATACATTGAGAAGCCCAGTTCTGCAAATGAAAGTAAAGGAAATTGTGGGCCTAAAAAGACTACGGCCCAAGCCTGTGAGGAGAGATCGGGCTTGCCTCCTTTTTTCCTGTTGTTTGTAGCAGCAGATTGTGCGGGTTTGTCGAGGGTTATTCGCGAGCACTTCTAATTATTCCCCCTTACGCATGTTCCACTCGGCAAATTCATTGCCCAGCGATTGAAATGCCAAATTTTGCCATCGGACAAAGGAATTAGAGAAGGGGTGGGGGTGGTGGTGGTGGTGGGGGTGGGGGTTAACGCTTTCATTCGTTGCGAAGACCTACAAATAAAGACTACGAATAAGCTGGGAATTAAATCCTTTTTTTTTATTTTGCCCAATCTTGGCATTCGCCGGGATTCGGTCCGGCCCTTCGCATATGTCCAGAATGTCCATCCAGGCTGTCCATCAATTGCGAGGGGCTTTTTGCCGGGGCTTTCCGCCCTAAACTGTCAATTGTTCGATAGATATTTGCCAATTTTACAGTCGTCCTGCCTCGATTTCACTGCAAACAGAAACAAAGCCGAATGCAAATAAACGCAGGCGGGCCCAGAAGTGGCAGGGCCTAGAACAAAGCAGCCAGCCCCGTCCACGTCCCCATCCGGGGGTGGCCATTCGGACATTCGGCTTATCACAATTGACCCATCACACGAACGAGTAGACAGACGATGTCGGCCCTCTGTCTGTCTGTCTGGCAGTGTGGCAGTCTGGACATTGGTTTAAGCGCCCCATCTCTCTTCGGAGCGGGACAATTGACTCTCGTATTTCACTGATGAACTTAACTTATGTCAAAATATGCGATAAGTAATCCTTTTTGGCTTCGACAGTCGGCTTCCTGTGTGGGTGTGGGTCGTACACTTGTCCGCCCGTGCCTCTGTGGGTCTACGGGACCTTTCGCCTGTGTAAATATTTTCTTTCCAGTGATAATTCCGCACGCAGCAGGGCAGGAATGGTTTGGCTTTCGGCTTCGGGTCTCCGAGTTGATGGAAAATGCCATTTCTGTACATTTGTCACGAAATCTAAAACAAAAAGTTTATTTATGTTTTCTTTTGCCTCGAATTGAGAGCTCGTAATGAATTGTGACAGGAGATTGGGGGAGAAAGTGGTCAAGATTGGGCCTTGTTTGAGCTTCATTTGGTCTGCCTCAAAGGGGGTGGAGGACACAGTGGAAACAGGCGATAGTTTGTGCCCTCCTTTTAGTGGCACTTCTACCCCCCAATTTCTACCAGTGTACTCCACTTTTGATTGCGACAATTTCATGCTTCCGCCTCATCTATAGATCCTGATCCAGATCCATCCCGAGACCCCGAGACAGACATAGAGACATCTATCTATCCATTTGGGCAGTGCCCCTGTCATGGGGGCATCAACCCCAGCGCCAGCCCTTCGCAGAGGGCAGAGGGCAACGGCAACGGCAACCCCTCCAAGCTTAACGCCGAGATTCTCAATTAGGATAATCTCCGAATGACTACGCAAATATTGGCAAAATTCGAAAATTCGTTGCGGACTCTGGACTCTTCGTTCTGGACAGAACAACGGATTCGATTGGACACGAGGTGAAGTCATTGCCTGGTGCCTGGTGCCAGGTCTCAGATCCCAGTTCCTGGTCTTTGGTTCCTGGTTCCTGTAGGGCTGTTTTTCCTGGCCTCGTAAAATTTTGCGCATTGTCAGATGAAATGCGTCTCCTGGGGGTCCGTTGGCCTGCATGATTGGGCGTGTGTGTGTGTGTGTGTGGGGGGGGAGGGAGCTCTGCCGCCCTGCCAGTGCTCCGAGGGCTCCGAGGGTGCAGCCCTCTATTATATGCACATAAAAATAAATTCCAAGACTTTATTATGCCCATGTACTTGTCATTGTCGATGTGTGTGCAATGGACTGTGTTTTGTGCGGGGGGGGATGGTGGGGACCCCCACAGCAACATCCTACATATCCTGTCCTGCAATTGCAATTGTTGTTAATTCTACGAATGTACGGGTGTGGGTCAAAGTTGGGCTTCCGAGTGGATTTTGCATTTGTTTTGTGGACCGAGCGGACTGGCTGGCTGCAGACTGTGTTTAATTTTTCGCAAATGTCCAATTGAATAACATGGGATAAGCGAACGCTTCATTGCATTCGCAGTGCGCTGTAACGAAGGACCAAACCCTCACCCCCACTGCCTCTCGCACCCCCTTCATCCATGTTCTCCTCCGTTTTGTCATGCTATTGTGTGTGATTTCTATTTGGTTAGTCAATTTTGGATTATTGTGGACAGTTTGGCAGGGATTCTCCCAGAGAGAGACAGAAAGTTGGCGGACAAATTGAATTGGAAGCAAAACCTGCGATTTCTTTTTGTTAAAGTTTCCCCCGAAAACTTGCGAAAGGCAATCTCCAATCATGTGTTACCTACGCCAGCGTTTTTGCTCTGTCGATTCGGCAAAGTTTATTGGAGCACAGCCGATCGGCCCCACGGCGGAGTCCCGCAAACAAAATGACAGTTTGATGCACTCGAGGCGGGTAATGGACAAAAAGTGCAGCCGCCTTTTAGGCGCTACGAAAGAAGACGTGGGAGTCTGCATAGAACGGCAGGGAATGCCAGGGAATGCCAGGGAATGCCAGGGAATGGCAGCCAAAGTGCCAGCCATGAAAAAGTTTCCCCTCCAGCGCCAGCGCCAGCGCCAGCGCCATAGTTTGGTTATTGATAACCCGAAAGCGACTTCTGGCCCTAAGTGCGCCTAAGTGTATGCCTTGAATGTTGTGCAACTGTAATTTGGTAATCTCAAGTATGCCACAAACACACACATACATGGAGATAGAAAGCGGGGGGCATCGAGAGTGGGGGAGACCCTTGCACAAAGTGAGTTTTCAATCTCCATTGAGATGACAAAATTTTCCTTTCAACTGCTGCCCAGGCGAGCACTTGAGCATGTCTTTTGGCCATTGTCGAGTGGGAAATTGTGGTCAGGCCATTATAACTTATAACTGGAGCTGCTCTCCGCCCTGTCCGCCCTGTCCGCTCTGTCCCCTTTTTGGGCATTCCATTTTGCAAATGAAATTCAAACTGACTTCGTATCAATTTAAATCAAATGAAGTGCACTTTTTGCCAGGCATTCTTCCAA